GATGGTCATTGCAAAGGAAATCATCAGTGGAAATTGTCGCCTCTGGAACTTAATTGGTAGAGTAGAGTTCGACGGGACCAACGTCATCCGAGGAATGAAAACAACATCACCGGTATTTTTGTCGGATAGAACCTTGCAGCTAAGAACATGAGTTCCCATTCTAACAACTTGAAGTCTGGTTCCATTACAAAGGCCTCTCGCCTGGTCGATGTTTCGTATGAGCATAACAGGAACATTTTCCTTGAGTTTCAGCCTATGTGAAGGGAGACCGGAGCAAGACACGGTGTTGAGGAATTCGGTCGTATAAATTTGAGCATTCTCTTCCGAATTCATCTCATCCTTGCACATACTATCCGCACTTAGGTACAACTTCTCTTCGCCGGGAATGAGGGAACATAAGTATTCGTTGACAAACTCAACGCAGTCATTAGTCGGCGCAAGCACCGCCCTCCATTGGAAGTAATCGGGATTTGATATGTTACTCAACAAATCCGGATATACAAACTGCAACAACTCCAATAATGGATCTTCGGAATCGGGAATTAGCATGTCCTCGGGAATCTCAACAGACGCTTCACCATCGTTTTGCTCTCCAGACTCCCCATTACCGATACTCAGTATCCAATCAGCAAACTCCTTTACTTCTTCAACTTCCGATGGATTAGAACTTGATTGAAGCCTCATATTCGTATGCAACTTAAGAACCTTACATTCTTCCCAAAGCTGAGATGAGTTGATCGTAGCGTGAACAATGTCCTGCCTTGATGCCTTCTATACAACAGGTAAAATCTGTCTAAAGTCTCCGCCAAGAACGACAACCTTGCCACCGAATGGTTTGGGAACATGCGTAATAGATCGCAAGGTCTTGTCAAGCGCTTCGAAACAATATCTATGCATCATCGGTGCCTCGTCCCATATAATGAGCCTCGCCTTTATAAGCAATTCTACTTGTGGACTCTGCTATGTAATGCTGCAGGTGGAACCATCGTGCACAATGATGGGGGGTCCAAATCTAGAATGAGCGGTGCGGCCACCGGGAAGCAGCAACGATGCTATGCCACTCGAAGCAACATTAAGAACTATTTCCCCTTTCGAACGGACAGCAGCGGACAACGTTCTCCATATAAATGTCTTTCCGGTACCTCCGTGACCGTAGAGGAAGTACATCCCGCCACAATTCTTCGACACAGCATCCATGATGGCATCGTAGACCCTTCTCTGCTCATCTGTGATAGAAGAAAGATATCGTTCCAGTTCTTCAGCCATCGTAAATACGTCGTAGTCCAACTCATCGAGCACTAATTGGTTCTCCGTGTCATCCATCGACGAATCTAGTGGCATCGGCATAGAGTCAAAATTCCGCAAGCTCTTGCCGTTGCTCTGTAGGATCTTCTCGATTTCTATCAACGCGTAGTTCTTCAAACTATCATCCGATAGAGTCAAATCTGCAAAGGTATAGATAGTAAGACAAATGTGTTCCGGACAAATAAGAACTTAAACAAAAAATTGTAAAATACCACAAAACTAATCGATACCTGGATTATTATGACGTTTCTGGTGCTTGTATGTAATATCATCAGACAAATTGGACCAACATTTCTCCCAAACATGTTCCGGTCTGCTCAAACTATTAGAAAGCAACATAACAGCGAACAACAATATGAGGAAGTGTCCGTTTGCCCAACCGTATGCCTCTCTAATTGCACCAATGTACTCCTTGTCATCTTCCAACAGCCCCAACATATAGCACGCATCCCTAAACGTCGCATAAACAATGCCACCCACCGTTCTGATGTCTTCGTAACTTTTGCACCCTCTTTGGACGTTGAGCAACAATCTAAGATAAAAGTCTTCTCCCTTTGTCGGGGGCACATTGGTGACTCTTCCAATGGCAAACCTCTTCTTTCTTGGCACCCATACCCGAGAATCATCCTTGTACACATAATGTTGGGGAAACTCTGTGTACCGTAACTCCCTAGCTGGTGGGTAGGTCTTGTTCGCCTCGAACCACGCCAAGAACATGGTTTGCCTCGCGGTTGGCCTTTCTAAGACACTCTTTAATGATTGGTTCTCATTGAATACCAACGGTTGATTGTCGGGGAGATGGAAGCTCAATCTAATGACGGGTGAATCTCGGTAATGTATCTCAAATGCAAATATCCTCCACATTGCCTCGCACGCAGATAAATATCTGCAGTCATAATACATTTTGATTTCATCACGAACAGCAGGACCGGCGTCCGTAGACGTAGGTTGGAAAAATGTTGCCGTGACACGATCGTGTCCCTTGTTAACGTACTTGAACAGATAATTTATTGACTTGCCCTGGTTGCACAACTCGATATTGATGTGGGCTCGGTATTTACTCAATAACACACGGTTGTAGGGAACCACAAATCCGTTATCAAGAATAGTGATATGCCTATTGGCCCAGCCCAATAGCCCACATTTACTGGACCACAGGCCCAACTTAATAGTTATTTCTACAGAGGCCCAATCAAACCCAAATAAGGTTGGGCCCGATAAATTGTCTCGACCCAATCAATAAAGTATAAATAGAACTTAAATTCATTGAATGAAGGTACGTTATTATTATTCAATCAATTCTTCTTGAGGAATTCTCTCTACAATTACCAACTATATTGCGTTTCACTCGGAACTTACGAGGGGTTTCCGCCGGATCAACCCCCGGCTTAGATTACGTGTTTTCTGTTCGCAGGATCCTAGAGCAAATTAAGCTTCTCAGGACTATCTAGCTCGTGAGCACGTGACCTACTTTGCTCTCCCAGCTTCAACACATTAGGTGATTTATTTTTTACGTCATCATTTTGGCGCCGTCTGTGGG